CACCCAGCCCTGATGTCTTAATTTTATTTTTTAATTTTTAAATTTTTCTGTAGAGGTGGGGTCTTTCTATTTTGCCCAGGCTGATCTCAAACTCCTGGCCTCAAGAGATCCTCCTGCCTTGGCCTCCTGAAGTGCTGGGATTACAGGAGTGTGCTACCAGGCCTGGCCCTGACTTTAATTTTAGCTAACATGGTAGTTGTGAAATGGTATCAATTTGTGGTTTAAATTTGCATTTTCTTGACTGGCATGAGATTGAACATCTTTTCATATGTTTAGGAACCATTTATGTGTTCTCTTTGGTGAAATTCCTACTCAGTTATTTTGCAGATTTTTCAAGTAGGTTGTCTTTTCTCATTGATTCATAGCTGTTCTTTTATATTCTGGATGCTAATCCTTTGTCACTGTTACATGAGTTGCAGATCAACATGCCTCCTTTTTCATTCTGCAAATCTGGTCAGTCAAAGAAGTGACTTAAGCAAACCTGGAGATTGAAAACCATTGGCCCAAGCTTCTGTTCTAGGCACTGTAGTGAAATGGCCTTGTGGTTGTGCACGGGGCAGGTCCTGGTACTTGGAGTGAATGCATGCTGGTAACTGACTGCTGCTGACCTGTGGTGCTTGCCTTTGCAGGTGGAACAGGAGGATTTTGTAATGGAAGGGCATGGCAAGACTCCACCTCCTGGTGAAGAAAGCAAACAGTGAGTCACAGTTTATTTTAAAAGGATCGGATTACAGATCATTGGAAGCACGTTGGTTAAACTTGCTGAGAGCTTGTTTGCTGGGATATATACGTTGCAGACATTGAGGAACTCACCAGTTGCTTTGGTGGCTGTTAATGCATTGCTCTATTTATAGACTGACTAACTGGCGGGACAAGAAAGTTGGCTTTGTCGTTTTTCACACTTGACTAATCAAAATTTATGTTATGCTTTAGCAAAAGGCTTTAAGGCTCGGTATGTTCCAAATTGAACTAATTCAGTTTGGTTGATTTCCAAAGAAAGTATAAAATGGTACATCCTTTTCTTAGCAATGTCTTTATCAAGTGAACTAAATTAATAGACTATTTCCCTGCAATCCAAGTTTGAATTTATTTGAATAGTACTTCCTGAAATTCTATTCCATTTGGTTATTTACGCTTCTGATCTCTGTTTAAATAAATTGTTTCTCTAAAGGAACAAAAATTATAAATAATGTAACTTAGCCAACATTCTAAATAATTCAGAATCTCTCCCCTGACTTCTTAAGGGGTGATTGGTTTTAAACCTGAAGTTGAGAATCTGCTGGGTAGCTTTTTGGTAGCAGTGAGTAGATTTTTTTCTTACTTCTGTCACAGAATTTGAAAAATTGAGTTGCAGAGCAGACTGGTTTTTCATATGCCCTTTTAAAGGAAAAACAGTTAAGACTGGCTTAAAGTACCGACATAACTACTATTTTTTATTCAGACATTAGTCTCCTAAATCGAATAAGCCAGTGATTCATAGAATTTACCAAAAATCTGTAGAGAAAAACTCTTCTCTCTTACCCCTTTTCTTTCCTAGAAAATAGTTTAATTTTGGTCTGTCTTAAGAAAATTATGTCTCTGAAACCCGTAGGAATCAATTATGCAGAATGGACTGTGCTGCCACCAGGCCCGGTTGATTAAAGGAGAATGGCTCTTGTCTTGTATTCGTTGTGAATGGAAACCAGGATATTTTCACAGCTGGGTTAATTTGTTAACCAGGCAGTTTTAAATATAGCTTACTATATAAATCCTAACTTTGCTGTATTCTGTCAAATGTACTTATATTCTGCATGGGCTGATGGAATCAGTTCATCTTTAGCAAATTGTAATGCCAGACGTCTAGTTCCTACGGGATGACAGGAGAAAGACTTCAGGTACTTTTGTCCATGTCTCTCTCGTACTCCCTCACCCCTGTACTCTGGTCAAAGATCTTATAATATAAAAATCATACCTCCCATTTGTCAAGGATTTTCTGTGCCTCAGGTACTTTGCTTGAATGTTTTTTTAACCCATCATTTCCCCTCGTTACAGCTTATCAGCTCCATTTCCCCCAGAGATCAGGGTAGGTAACTCGCCCATGGTAACGCGGCTTGAAATGGAATTTAGATTGGAACCCAGCTCTTACTGACTTTAAAGTGTTTTATATTATTATTCTCACAAATGCTTTGCCATCCTTGGGTGCTGTGTTCCTTGAAAAATACTGTAGTTAGCGAAAGTGTAGTTATCAAAATCAAAGTGTCATGAATAATAGAGAGTTAGGGGAAACAATGAAAACGGCATTAAGTCTATTTTTAAAACATAGATGGAAGTTCTCTTCTCTAGAGGGTATCCATTTCCCAAACAAACCAGTCTTTACCTCTAAACACCTGCTCTAGTGGCCCCTATCCTGTATCAGCTCCTTTAGGTATTCGGGAAGTGCTGGGGCAGATTCTCCCACAAGGTTTATGTTGTACAAACTGTACTTTCAAAGAGTTTCCGACGGCCCCAGCAGACTAGAAACGTCACGTGTGGTGTCCTTAGCATTTGTCCTTGCTGTGCCTTCATAGGTCCCGTACTGCCTAGCCTTTTAACAGATGGATTCTGTTCTGTTTTGGGTGTTTTCTGGACCTGGTCTGCTACCACAAACTGAAGTGATAAAGCAGAAATCAGTCCTCTCACTAGGTAGATCTGCCCACCTCTTCTGTGAGAATGGGGAGCAAAACCGCTGAGTTCTTTTGTTTGAAGCAACAACAATAAAAATATTTGCAAAAAAAATTTTTCAGAACTACAGTTGACAAATGATTACTATACTTTATAAGCATGATTGAATCAGGATAGGAGATCTAGGAACTGAATTTTTTTTTAATTAGAAAAGTAATACATGCTTGTCATGAAACATTCAAACACTCCTTCCCCTCCTAATCTTCCTTAACATTTTCTGCACATTTTAAAACAACTAAATAGACTTTTTTCCCAACATGATTCTGAGATTTGCTTTTGTAATTTCACATCTTTCACCACCTATTTCATTCTTTTAAACATCTGTGAAACATTCTATTGAATGGATGTACTGTAGT